AGAGAGAGAGAGAGAGAGAGAGAGAGAGAGAGAGAGAGAGAGAGAGAGAGATTAGAATAACTCTGAGAGAGAGAGGGAGACTAGAATAACTCTTTTGCAAAGGGAATTTGAATATAAAAGCGTGTAACACCTGCTTTGAACTAAAAGTGGAAAATAGTATGTTAATTTTGGGAAACACTGACCCACACAGCACCTGCCTCAAGCAGCAGATCCTCGGGATCTGAATTAAATCTGTTTATTGTTTTATATTTATTTAGCCCTGATTAGCTGGCTGTCCAACTAAAATAATTCCAAATTCGAGTTCTGCCAAATTCAAAAGCAGCACGAATGAACCCCCAAGTTGCCGTAATAGAGCTGTCCGCACTCTCAGAGAGTACTAATGACCAGATGACTGCAAAGAAATACAATCCTTCCATTTCCCCCTCCATCCTATTCTCAACTATCAGTACTTATCCTTCTATCCCCCCCCCCATCAGAACTGATGAAGCTTCTTGGATGAGAAGCGAAATGTCATTTTCTGTTCTCTCAGGGAAGCCTTTTGAAGAAAAAAGCACATTTGAGACAACTATGATCTGGATGACTGAGAATCTCCATAGACATTTGCTTAGGCAAGACTCATTTCAGGTTGCCTTGCATATAATAATCTAACCAAGATGTAGCCCTGTGTAAATGAATCTCAGCTAAGTGATGGATTTTCATGCTTCTTTTCTTCCTGTGAGGAAAATTTAATGGGGATTTATTCTGAGTTTTTTTTCTTTCCAGCTCATTTCTTATATATATAAACCAAGAATCATAACTTCAGATAATTGCTACTTCTTTATAATCTAATTCCTGTTTAGTTGGTGAGCATTTGACTAATTTGCATTAAAATATGATTGTTAAATGAAGCTGAATATTGGTTTAAGTCCTCTTTTCTGGCTATGGTTTTGGCTCACAGTAGCCAACCATACTTATGTATAAATATGGCCTTTAAACTGTGCAACAGAGTCATGATTCATTTTAATTTGATAGAACCTCATAAGCTGTTGTTTAACGAAGATGTGTATATAGGTTGCCCTCAAGTTATGACCGTTTTAATTCAGAAACTCTTCCAAGTTATAACAGTAGAGAACATGGGGAATTTACAACCAGTCAACAAAGTTGCAATCATCACAGCATCCCCACGGTCCCATAATTGCAATTTGGCACCTTGACAACAGACTTTTACTTACAAAGGGTTGCAGAGTCCCTTGATTATGTGATTGCCATTTGTGATTTTCCCTACCAGCTTCCCACTAGGAAAGTCATTGATAAAGCCAGTGGGTAAGGTCATAAATTGCTCCCGTAAATTGCTCCCATTCCCACCATTTTTACATACAGTGGAAATTTGGGCAGAATTCTAGCCTTGTAACTTTGGATGATTTATGATGTTAGTGAAATTAATTGGCCTGTTCTCTTCTAAACAAAGTCTCTGCCCCATAGATTTTCCTCTAGATGTTTTGGGAGTACAATTCCCAGAAAAGAACTCTAGGAATTAGGATCCCAAGATCGCTGGAGGTTAACAGTTTGAGGAAGTTTACTTTTAAGCTATTATGTCTGTGGTTTTTATTTTCCATTTTACCTAGATTTATGTAACTTTTAGTTCAGGATTCTAATCCTTAAGTTACACTATATTTACATTTGATCCTCCAGAAAGGAATTTTTTCACATCCAAGGCTGGAGCTTTGAGTGGAAACTTTTAAGTCTCTTGCTTATATAACCACATACTTTGGTTACAATACTGGAATACTGAGGTGATGAGTTTTGTGATTTTCATATGTTCCTGAGATAGTTCTTCACATATGTAAAACTGAATGCGACTGTGATTAAATATATATATATATATCTAGATGCAGATGTCAAAAACTTCATCCATGTGAGTAGCAATTTGGTCTGTATTTAATTCTCACATTGTGCATTTTTTCACAAAGTAGTTTCAAACATTTTAAAACTAAGCTGCAACTGTTTCTTTTACGCGAGGACAGTATTCACATTATGTGGTTTACTACGTTCTTTATACAACCTAAACGTTGCTTGCAGATCTTTGTGAATGTTTCTGCACATAGCTGGATCTCTAGGTAGGATCAAGAGTTAGTGTGCCATAAATAGCAACAAGACCAAGTTTTGAATTTGACATCTCTAGCTTGTATCTTGTACCCTGTGAATTGACTGAGTTTTTCTGTATCAATTGTTGTTCTATCTTTCAGTTGCTTCTGACTCTTTATAACCCAATAAACATCACTTTTCTGCATCAGTAATAGTTCCCTTGAGTTCTTGTAAATGTACACTTATGTCATCAGTGACAGTCACTAGCCACCTTACACCATACAACAAAAAAGATGTTCAGACTTTGGAAAAAGTTCAGAGAAGAGCAACTACGATGATCAAAGGCCTGGAGACTAAAACATATGAAGAACGGCTGCAGGACTTGGGTTGGCCAGTCTAAATAAAAGAAGAAATAGGGGTGACATGATAGCAGTTTTCCAGTATTTGAGGGGCTGCCACAAAAAACAGGGGGTCAAATTATTCTCCAAAGCACTAGAGGGCAGGACAAGAAACAATGGTTGGAAACCGATCAAAGAGAGAAATATCCTGGAATTACGGAGAAACTTCCTAATCGTGAGAACAATTAACCAGTGGAACAGCTTGCCTTCAGAAGTTGTGGGTGCTCCATCACTGGAAGCTTTTAAAAAAAGACTGGACAGTCACTTGTCTGAAATGGTATAGGTTCTCCTGCTTGAACAGTGGACTGGACTAGAAGACCTCCAAGGTCCCTTCCAGCTGTATTCTATCTTGTTTTATGTCAGTCTCTCTCAATTGCCTTCCCTGTTCCAATCTTCAAGGTCTTCTCCAATGTTTTTCCATTATGTGTGTAAAATATCAAAGCTTTAATTTCATAATGATGTTTCCAGTGAGTGATCTGCTTTTATTTCATTTAGGACAGGTTTATTTATTTAGACCATTTATATGGCCACCCAAGATGATTGTAAGCAGTGTAGGGAAGTTTGTTCTTGCATTCCAAGGTTCCTCAACAATTTCCCTAGTATTGTACCACAGTTCAGAGGAATCAACTTTTCATTGTTCAGTTTTGATGATTATCCAAAGAGATATTATAATTGGAATAAATATTGCCTTGACAACATCTTCTTAAGTTGTCAGTATTCTATCTCTGCAGTTTAATATTTCTCCAAACTTGGCAACTTTAAGACTTGTGAAATTCAGCTCCCAGAATTCCTCAGCCAGCCATGCTGGCTAGGGAATTCTGGGAGTTGAAGTCCACAAGTCTTAAGTTTGTAGACCTCTGGTCTAGATCTACCATAGTTCTCTCAAATAGTAGACATCCCTTTATTGCATGGCTACGAATATCATTCTTGTGACTTTTTGTGATTATGAAAAATTAAGTTTGATACTGTCAGCTTCCTGTTGTTTAACTTCCCACTGGGTTGTCATTGCCTGTTGACATTATCTGGTTTTTGACCATCAGCAAGAGTCCCCTTAAGTCTTCTTCTCTAGCTATTATCAAACAGGTATCTTTAGCATATCTGAGCGTATCTTTGAAGGATCATAATTCTGATTTATTGAACCATTCAGATTTTTTAAGTTGTTATATAGTTGCTTCCTTAAATGTCTTCGCTACATCTGAGTAGCTCCCTGTGAATGTAATTATCCAAAATTATTTTGTAGTATGTAGTAACACCTAAGTTTTTATTACCATTGTAAAGCATCAATCAACAATTTCTGGTGCAGTTTAGATTTTGAGATATAGCAAGAGCTATTCTTATTGGATGAAAATGTATCAGTCATGAAAGTCAATATGATTATTTCAGCCTCATGTTGTTACTCCAAATGTAAACCAGGATGTACCCATGTTTGATACTCAAGATTTGTGAATCAGATCTGGGTGTAAGCACGATAAACCAAATTGCTCGAAGTTGACATAGGTGTTTGATTGTAACTAGGAGTGTTGGAAAGGTTACTGCAAACCTGTGTTTAGAAACTCTTAACAAAAATACTCTTGTATCTGGAGAGATGTGTGGCTACTGCCCTTGTATTAGTTTATTTCATGTTACTTTAGAAACAGTTGTGCATTCTCATAACTATCATGTAGGTGTGTGAGAAGGAAAGTATGGTTTGCAGGAAACCAGAACACATTGGAAGCAGTGGTTGCTTCAACATCAACAATACCATTACAAGAATAGCTGCAGCCCAAGTTTGTCTATCTATCATTTGTTAGTATTGATAATCTACCCCCAAAGCCAGAAGACTCTAATATGCAATCCGTACAAAACCAGTCAAGATAGATTCTCTCAACTGGGGAAATAAGTATAAAAGTGTGACTTTCTCTTCCATGTAACCCCCCAAATATGGGCTTTATAACAAAACCAAATTATCCTGGAAATTTTCAGCAGAGTGCACTACATTAATTGTGTTTCAGTTAATTAATTTTCTTTTTTCCTGTTCCACAGGACCTGCAGAGGTACCTATGATGTCCCCCAATGGATCTATTCCTCCCATACATGTGCCTCCAGGTTATATATCACAGGTATGTTTCCTTCAGCAGGAGAATGTGGCACGGCTGGATTGTGTAATCTCCACCAATTCTGTAATGGCATTTCTGTAATTTCTCTCTTTCGTTTAAAGAAAAACAGTCAAATGTCAAGCTTTCAAGACTGGCTTCAAAGGCATGATATGAGTGTATGTGGACAGTGACTAGTTAAATCTAAAAAACAGCATAGGTTTTATTCCCAACAGCAACTCTTTGCCCGGTACTTAATTACTATGAGCTGTAGGGAAAGAATTCTTACTCACTGTGACATTATAGTGCATTGCCTTATTTTTTTTCAGGCCATAAGGGAGATAATTTTGACACTGGTTTATAAGTCAGGCATTTCTAGTAATTCTGTTTTGGCTTCTTTTATTATGACAGTTCCTATTTTTTACTCTGTCAGATGAAATGTTTATTATGTCATCTCTTGGGTTGAGTATCAACTGCTTTTTCCACCTCAGCTTAATGCATTTCCATTGCAAAAATGGATAAGGATTTCATTGATTGTTTTTCCTTTCTGTCTTGGTAGAAAAATCAAATACATTCTGTGATTGATTTCCATACATTTAAACATATAGATCAGAAGGAGCTGAAATATGTTCTTAATAATGTTGCTAGTTTCCAGCAACTGACCAGGTATTTGTTAATCTGGGAAGACATCCAGAGTTCTGCCTATCTTAAAGAGACTCTCCCATTTCCATCTGGTAGGCCCTGTCAGCTTATTTTCTTTTAAGTGCTCCAGGATGAGATAGTTATGGTCCTTTTGCTGATGCTGAACTTGTGAAGGAATGTAGAACTGACCTTGGGAACAAAAAAGGAGTGAGAGAGCCATTGAGGAGGGACTTGCGGGACAGATTCTGAGAAAGCATGAGAAAGAAATTCAAATTTATCTCACCTTGATTTTTATTTCATTTTATTTTATAAAATAAAATGGTATACTGTGGAACAGGGAGTAACTTAGGCTTTCAAAATTCTGATAACCTACCTTACTACAATAAGGTGCATTCCTAAAATCCTTGCCATGTCTATCTCTTGATCTAGCCTACTTCAAGGGATATTTATTCATAATTCTGTCATGATTTTATTATCATATTTGACATTCATTTTTGATACTTATTTTAAATTATGCTTTATTAGGGCATTTATTTATTTAATCAATCGAGTTATAGAGTTTTCCAGTCAACACTAGCGTAAGGTGATGTGCATGATTGAAAACAATGAATAGTTACAAAAGCTAAGAAGCAGTGATAGATGAAAGCAGCGTAGGCATACGGCCTCCTAATTGAAAAATAAATGGTGCTGGTACCCAAGATAAATCTGTGCCAGGGTTCTCCAAGTCGCAACTGCCACCTGCTCTTTGACCAGGAACCATGAGTCCCACCTAGAAGGAATTCTGTAGGGTGATTCCATCCATAACCATAGGCAAAAAGTCTCTGTATCCAGGTGGCCCAAAAATACACAGCTGCTCAGTCTTATCAGAGTTGAGTCCGAGGCTGCTCTTCTGAAACCAGTCCCATAGCTTCAAGACACTGAAAGAGAATCTCATTGACGTTACTTGGCAGACCAAAGATTAAGACATATAGCTGTATTTAATCAATATACTGACAATAACTAACCTGGTGCTGGTGGATATTAGTCAGTATCCTCACCTAGAATCAAGCCTGAGGCAGTAAATCTAGTGAGGATTGAGGATTAGACTCCATCAGTACCAAAACTAATCCTAGAGGAAAGAGGGAAACCACCATCATGCCTCCCAGAAGGATGCTATGATACAATCTGCATGTCTTCAAGACATTGTGCCCAACTAAGAATTTTTATTTCCACTTCTGGAATTCCACTGCTAGTAAGTCCAAACACAAATTCCCAGAGTTCTCTTTCGCAAATTTGTTAAGATGAAAGACTTGTGGTACAAGAATTTCCAACAGCTGGAATTTAGAGGCAGCATATTTATGTATCAGTCAAACATTTAACAAGCTCATAACCAATCCTATGTAAGGTAGAGAGATGGACAGACATACAAACATTCACATCTTTCTGCAAGCATTTTTAATAAGTCACAATTTTAAAAGAGTATATTTATTAAATGTTCTTATGCTTTGTATAAACTTTGTTTATACATCATCCCTGAACCCTATCCTACTTCCACGTTAACTCCAAAAATAGCTTCATGTGGAGCAGGTTACAGTAGACAAGTTGTAGCCAAGGCATGAGGGTCTTATGTCATTATCTGAATAAGATCTGAATTAGAGTAAGAACTATGTAGGAATGAAGTTAAAGCAAGTCAAGCTCCACTTCTGGTAACTTCACAAATATGTCTGTGAGATTTTCTTGGCAATAGATGAACTTGGTTTACCATTACGTTCCTCTCTAGGAAGCTATTTTCCAGATGTCCAAATTTAGTCTCCGGTTGTGGGATTTCTGGTAATCTCTCATCCAGCGCTAACTATATCTGAGTATGCTTAACTTTTCAATATCAACCAGGATTGGTTCAGTGCTGCAGTTGTACTACATTAGAAGTCTCTAATTAAAAGGAAGAAATAGCACAGGATGGGGGAGATTTGAGAGCAGCTGTCAGTCAAAGTAAGTTCAAGTCTAGGCCAGATAGAGGAAAACATCTGATCTTGTATAAAGCTGCTTCTTCTGCAGTTGTGTTGCTTAATGGCTCCCAGTTTGCCAGGGAATCAATTGCTTATCATTGTTCTCAAGTCCCATGCAAAGCAAGTTTCATGAAATACTCTTTTTNTCGCTCTCCCGAGATAAAGGGAGAGCTTTTGGGACTCTACTCCTATCCAGGAGTACTCACCTCGACCCCTTCTCCCGGGGCACAAGGTTCCAAGCCGCTGAACAGCTGCTGACCGCTGTTCATGCTGGCTCTGACGCCTTCCCAAGCGGACGGCTCCGAAAAGAGCCGCCATCGGCGCGCCGTCCCACCGGAAGTCGACCGCCATGTCTATCTCTTGATCTAGCCTACTTCAAGGGATATTTATTCATAATTCTGTCATGATTTTATTATCATATTTGACATTCATTTTTGATACTTATTTTAAATTATGCTTTATTAGGGCATTTATTTATTTAATCAATCGAGTTATAGAGTTTTCCAGTCAACACTAGCGTAAGGTGATGTGCATGATTGAAAACAATGAATAGTAACAAAAGCTAAGAAGCAGTGATAGATGAAAGCAGCGTAGGCATATGGCCTCCTAATTGAAAAATAAATGGTGCTGGTACCCAAGATAAATTTGTGCCAGGGTTCTCCAAGTCGCAACTGCCACCTGCTCTTTGACCAGGAACCATGAGTCCCACCTAGAAGGAATTCTGTAGGGCGATTCCATCCATAACCATAGGCAAAAATTCTCTGTATCCAGGTGGCCCAAAAATACACAGCTGCTCAGTCTTATCAGAGTTGAGTCCGAGGCTGCTCTTCTGAAACCACTCCCATAGCTTCAAGACACTGAAAGAGAATCTCATTGACGTTACTTGGCAGACCAAAGATTAAGACATATAGCTGTATTTAATCAATATACTGACAATAACTAACCTGGTGCTGGTGGATATTAGTCAGTATCCTCACCTAGAATCAAGCCTGAGGCAGTAAATGTAGTGAGGATTGAGGATTAGACTCCATCAGTACCAAAACTAATCCTAGAGGAAAGAGGGAAACCACCATCATGCCTCCCAGAAGGATGCTATGATACAATCTGCATGTCTTCAAGACATTGTGCCCAACTAAGAATTCTTATTTCCACTTCTGGAATTCCACTGCTAGTAAGTCCAAACACAAATTCACAGAGTTCTCTTTCGCAAATTTGTTAAGATGAAAGACTTGTGGTACAAGAATTTCCAACAGCTGGAATTTAGAGCCAGCATATTTATGTATCAGTCAAACATTTAACAAGCTCATAACCAATCCTATGTAAGGTAGAGAGATGGACAGACATACAAACATTCACATCTTTCTGCAAGCATTTTTAATAAGTCACAATTTTAAAAGAGTATATTTATTAAATGTTCTTATGCTTTGTATAAACTTTGATTATACATCATCCCTGAACCCTATCCTGCAAAAATGTAAAGTACTATAGGAATATTCTCATTCTCTCTCTCTCTCTCTCTCTCTCTCTCTCTCTCTCCTCCCT